ATTTTTTTTTCTGTTTCTAACATTTCTTTTCGTCTTTTCCTCTCCATCTAATCTTTTCTTAACTTGCTTAGCTTTGGTTCGTTTCAATCTGTTTTCATGTTCTCTTCTTATCTCTTCTTTCTCAGGTGTATCGGTGTATATTGTGGATTTTCTGGTTTTTCGCCCCCTGTTTGTTGATTTCCTTGGAGGAGCTTTTGGTAGTGGTCGTACTGCTTCCGGTGAAAACAAAAGTGTTGTACTCGGAGACGGCATATTTTTCGTTTGATTTGACAAGACAGGAATGGATTGAGAACTTGTAGAGGGTTTTGGTGAAATTTGCTGAACAATATCAGTACTTTGATGTCCGGGTAATGTAATCAAAGGTTCTGGATCTGCAGTAATATTTTCCTGTTGTCTGTCTGGGACTTGTGAACACTGTGACATATTTGCAGTCAGTTGTTGTACAGAAAGAGCTGTATTAGAAAGCTCCTCCGACATTTCTGGTAGTTCAGAAGGTGATGGTGTTGGTGTTTTATCCTCAGGTGTGTAAGTATTCTGAATATGGCCATCAGCTGCCTCATTTGTATTCGTATTTAGAGGATTTGGTCTGTCTGTCACAAATGCAGGTGCAAAATCGAGTTCACTAAACAAATGCCGATTAAATGGAACAATCCCAGTTGTGCGAAAACCAGCTTGAATGTTGGATTGTGTAAGAGCAAGCGGCATAGCAATACCTAAAATCCCTGGGATGTCGTATATTGACATTGTCTTGCCGGGATGACTTCGCATCCATCCATCACAGGTCGAATTTATAGCTTTTTTCAGCGGACCGAATACAGATCTATCAAGCGGTTGGAGTTTATGTGAGCAGTGGGGAGGGAACGATAGCACCACAATGCCATTCGTCTTGCAAAAGTCTAGAGCATTAATATGAATATGTGAAGAGTGGTTATCAAGTACAAGTAAGACTTTATGTGAAGAAGAAGCATTTGTATGTTTCTTGAAGTGTTCCAGGAAATGAATAAATGTTTCATCCTGCATCCAGCCAGAAGGATTTGCACTGCCAGCAGATCCTATTGGTCCATCCCTGATAAAGTGGTCTTGATATCGCACTCGCGGAAAGACGAAGAATGGAGGAATAGCATTTCCGATGGCATTAACTGCAAAGGCAACTGTGACTAAAGTACCCCTCTCACCTGAAGTCACTGAACCTACTTGGCGAGCACCACGTCTAGCTATTACTCTGTCGGGTTTTTGCACAGTAGTGATGCCAGTCTCATCAACATTATATATATTTTGTGGCTCAAACTTATAACGGTCCATAACAGTACTCAAATTGTCGTAAAAAGCATCTACATTATTTCTATTAAAGCTAGTCGCCCTAGAAAGACTTGTAGCCTGTGCTACACGTACTGAAAGTCCGGAATTTCTTCTCATAAACATTCGAAACCATTCGTCGCCAGCCATTTCGTTGTCATCCCATGTCCGAGGTCGTGATAAGTCGTACTTGATTGTTAGTTCGTATGCCAATTTCCTGACATCCTTTTTAGTTAGGCCAAAATAGATATCTGCACATCTAGTTAAATAATTAGAAAGCTCACGTTCTTGTTCTTGGTTAAACACTCGATTGTGAGCCTTATATCCCACTTCTTGATTTTCATCACCACCAGCCGCATCTCGTTTACGTACGTATCTAAACAGGGAACAGTGGTTCAGCCCATTCTTTTCTGCCGCTGTTCTTAAAGAAGATCCCGCTTTCACATCTTCATAAGCTTGTTTATAAGTCGATAAGTCAGCCTGGCCTCTCGTAGTCTTCCTTTGGCGTACCCTTGGCATCTAAAAAACAAGACAATCAAATAAATAAGCTGTTTCAACCGTACCCACAAAAAATGTTTCAACTGTCCCCATCCCCCCTTCTAGGTATAAAACGGCTCACAATAGGAATGATAATAAATTTGAATAAAAACTCATCATACTACCATATTCTACAAACTTCAATTGCAACGATACAAAATGCTCAATACTTTAGCTTTAATCAAAACGATAATAATTGCAAAAATGTACGAACAAAAATACTTACTTTACCGCCAAAAAACACAATGGTGTCCCCTACACACAAGCACAGCGCGCGAAGAGCAAAATAATACTGAAATTCGTGTTTCGACTTGTCGTCTGCTCCGATCTTCTTCTGTTTTCGTCCCCCACCATGAAAGGCTCGCGAGATATTCGCTTTGTTTCAACCGTCCACCGTTTCAACCGTACCCAGTCTACCCTATCTAATATTCAAAATACCTATTTAATTCCTCGCGTATCCGTCTTGCCAATACATTTTTTATCTTTTAGATAAATTTTTGATATTGGGAAGCAGGGATTTTTTAAAGCGCTATGTGTCCTGCTCCAATAATTGGAGCATAATTATTATGCCACGATATGTGTTATGTCCTAGATTGAAGTTCGTATCTAAGATTGACGACTTAAACTTTAAGTCAAAAAGAAGAAAATATATATATAAGGTAAGGTGGGGCAAGTGCTGCCCAAAAAATTAAAAGTTCAAAATCGAGATCACAGAAAAAATACTTAAAATGTTTTATGGATGATGCATTTTAACCAGAGAGTAGCCTATAGTGTTCTCTACAAAACTGAATATTTTAGATTGAATTAGAAAATTTACAATTTACCAAAAATGTTGTTTTTTTATTAGGATGACAATTGCTGCTCTTGCCCCATACAGTCGGGGCAAGAGCGTAAAATCCATTACTGTAGTTAGTTTTGCTAAGAAATCAAAACGAGGCAAGAGCAATCATCTTTATATTATGGATAATTGGTTAGACACGAAAAATAAATGTTATCCTGGTCAGAAGTTGAGTGATGATCTTAGAAAGGGACTGATACCTTTTTGAAATGATACAAAAATACATTATCGATGCATAACACTCTTGTTTTTATTTAAGTAATAAGAATTTATCGTCACTTATGTATTCAAATTGCCAAAGTAACAAACAGTTTTACATTAAGTATAAATCCCAGCTTTAACAAAACCACTTCGAAGTATTTCAGGATTTGTTTCTCTCCATATATCTCCAATAAGTTTTGAAGAAATATTCTTCGGCATCTTAATACCCACGTTCTTACGCTGCCATTCTACTAGTTTAGCATCCCATCGAGTTTTTAGGGATTTGAAAACACTTAAATCAAGTGGTTGTAAAATATGACTGGTATGTGGGGGAAGTTTTAAAATTGTTATCTGGTTGTCGATAGCAATTCTAACAACTTCTACACTTAAATGAGTCGCATGACCATCGTAAATTACTAAGACTGGACTTTCTGGAGGCAAACACTTAACGAAACTTTTTTCAAAATAGTTTTTAAAAACTGTGCTTTCCATCCATCCGTTGGCGGTTGCTGCATATGTCATTTCGGGAAACTCGCTACCAGGGGGTGCAAGCCACTGATCCCAGACGTGCTTGCCCTTGAAAATTATTAAGGGAGGCGCCTTTTCTCCGCTTGCGCTGCAGCACATTAAGTCAGTGGTATTCTGTTTTCCAGGCCCACTTGTTGTCCGTGTCGCTGGCAGTCCCCGTTGCCCAACGATTTTCGTTTTTGAAGGGTCTGAGCAAAAACTGCTCTCATCTAAGTTCCATATCTGAGATGGTTTATCCTCTAATCCAAGTTCTTTGATTGTATTTTCTAATAAATTGAAGTACTGGTAGACTAAAAACGGATCAACATTCTTTTTTCGGGCAAATTCGACGCTTTGAGGTGTTTTAATAGAAAGCTTGTGACGACGTTTAAAATTTAAAAACCAGTCTTCACCTGGTTTGTCATTTTTAAACTGCGTTTTAATTTTATTCGTTTTAACGTAATCTTCCACTATCCCGAGCAATTCCTTTCTGGTTAGACCGAATCCCCACTTCTCCATACAGCGGATACAATCTGCCAGACACGTCTCCTCTTCAAAACTGAGATCTGCCCTTCTACCATAGGTTGAACTTTTCTGACCTCTGTGCCCTTTTACATGGTCCGAAAGTGTATTTTTTGAAATATGATACATCAAGCTAGCTCTGTAAATACTCATTTGTCCACTCTTTACAATGTTTACAGCAGTCCTTAGATCTTCTTTTGAATATCCGGATCCTCTCTGAGATTTGCGAATATAATTGCGAACCATAATTTAATTCTGAAACAGAGGGAATATTTCAAAAATACTGTTGGGGCAAGTGCGTTTTATAGACTGCACTTGCCCCTTTAAAATAGGCCGCTCTAGCCCCTGTACAAAAAAATCACAGGGCAAGTGCAGCCTATCAACAAAAACTTGTTTTATTGAAAATAAAAGCAGAAATATCGTTATCACTAGGAAAATGATAGAACAATAAGTGTACTTACCATAAATCAAAACTGTAACTCAAAAGATGGCCTTGATATTGACGGATGTATTAAACGTAACCTACTTGTTGCTGGACAATAATGGCGAATAAAATTTCGCGTGTTTGTCATGAACATAATACCGGTCGCTGATCTCTTCTGTTATTTTACAAAGTTGAGATGAATTGGGTAGATGAACGATCCATAGATGGTAGCACAACTGACTGTTATCCGGGAAATTTAAACGCAAAAGCTGCACTTGCCCCGTAAATGCTCTTACCCCACCTTACCTTATATAATAATATTCAGAAATTCGTCGACTCCCTTGTAGCGGGGAATTTGATTGAACTATATTCAATAAATGACTTGAATGAAGGTTTCGATTATTTTTCCACAGTATTTATATATCAACAAAGCTTGAATTTTGGGTTAACCATGTAGCTCTGTCGAGTGAGAAACTAAAACATATTTTTTGTTACAAGTTCAAAATTTATTACCTCTAGTACAGTCAGAAATTGTACCTATATTGTGTGCAAGTCGTATATATTATTTTTTTTTTGTAAAGAGAAACGTTTCTCAGAAAACAAAGGTTTGTACTGTTACCTGTGTCTATTATCTCAAGCCAAAACAGAGACAACTAATATGATGATATAGATGAACTCCTTTAGAAAACCACCAATTTGAGAATGTCTTATGTACCTGCAACTCTGTTCTTACGATTTCCATCTAGGTTTAAGAAATTGTAGCTAGAAATAATATGCTGTATATCCTTTACAGTGGTTTTATTGATTTAGTTATCGACATTGTATGGTGCATTCTGCATTTTGTATTCAGTGTATACAGTATTCTCTGGATTTCACCTGGTGAACCTGCCCTAGTGAACCTGAAACAAAACTAAATAAGTAGCAGATACTTAGCTCACTATTGTAATCAAATTACTTGTTTCCTTTGATAAATCGGTGCCTAAAGCAAAACTAGTCACTGTTTACAATTTTATAACCTAAGTAGCAATGAATTTTGTAGACAGGTGTCAAGTCGGCTGTCACTGTCAAAGGTGAAAATCATAAATCAAATCTAAGCGGATAACTAAAATTTCCGTATTATGTACCGCGGTTATAATATGGTTCAAGACGACACACGGGATGGTGACGTCAGTTACTCGAATCGCTTGAACGCGTTGGTTTTAACCGCGGTTTGTTGCAAGTTGTCTATTTTAGAAAAGCGGGTATATAATTTCTGATTATTTTTATAGTCACTTAATAATCGGTGCTTTTTCGTCTACAACGGGGTATGGAAAGTTGATAAAAAGAAAACTTTCATAATATTAATGGGAGGAATGTTTTTTTTTTCCGAAAAAAATTTTTACTGATGGAACCATGGCTTTGTAGCTATGATAACTTTCAATTCTCTAAACTTTTCCGCATGTCAAAGAAAATATTTATTGATTTAGCAGAAATGATGAAAAAGCGATGAAAAAAAGATATTAACAAAACCGTATACAGGTGGACATCATCCAGTGAGTTTATACGGCCATATTTTAATATTCTTGTGGTATATGGCTATACAGGATACTTTTTTAAGTGTTAGAACTGGATTTAAAGTGTCCCCAACAACAGTGATGATTATAAATAATAAGGTGCTCTCTTATGCTAAAACTGAAGTCAGCCTGTATCAAGTTTCCCAAAAATGAAGCTGAAGTACAATAAAAATATCCAATACCCGGCAAAATTCTAACTTGTCACATGTCAAATAATAACCAGAAATATAAAACTACTCCGGAGTTGGGTAAATACCACAATTTTGCGGTGATAACTATGACATATAACAGCTGATTCATGACTTCACGGATCTTATAGCCAAACTGATAACCACACTCGCTTGAACGGATCGGTAAATACCAATCCAAAATGGTAAATACCATTTCCATTTGGTTATCTGCTTGAATTTGATTTTAGCATGCCAACTGGCGTGGAAATGTCAGGAGCGAGACGCGCGCAACAAGTAAGGAAAAAAAGATCGCGATTGCAATTTTTCGGATTCGAACAAAGCGTCTGTCTCGCAAGTGCGGATCTAGTTCCGAAAATAGCTTAAAAAAAAGGAAAATCTTCACAATTTCAATTGCTGTAGGCGGTCACACCACTAGTATTGTGGGATCTCTAAGATTGGAAGATTTCCCTCTTCTTTAAAGGCCACCCTACACCCTAGGCCTTCTCTCTTATTCTTTTCTCTTTTTCTCTGCTTCTTCTTACCTTCAACATTTTATACCTCCTGTACGTTTTCTTCTGCATTCTCCGTACATAACTGAGACCAAGATTTGACCAGAACTACCTGCTAGATCGAACCTAGCATCGCTTGAAACCTTAACGTTGTACCGCTTTGGCTGGCTTTCTGCTACATTCCTACACCTTATCATATGAGCACTGGTTAACATCACCAAGGGACCTGCAACAGGTTATTCCAGATATTACAGGTCAGACTAGACTATAAGGTTTATGTAAGAATTCAAGTTTCTTGGACAACTGAAATATAGAGTACCAGATTTGTTCGCTGTAAGATTATCCACTAGTTAAGATCACTTTGTATACGCTTCACATCTCAGTGAGCCTACTTACCTAGCAGTAGATCACGCCATAGTATATGGGGGCCTCCTTTCTTTCGTAGAACGTCACTTTACCCAGTAAAATGTGTTATATTAGACCTAGCATATCTGAATGCAAGTGTACGACTTCTTGTAGTCCTAGCAGGTAACATATAAGGTCACCGACCTCTCTTATACATAGCATATGGCGTTGTCTTTTCAGGAAATATATATCGTTTCAATCTGAACTTTGCAATTTCTTTCATTGTTTACAATTTCTACAGACAATTCGACAGGTGAAACCACGGAACTCCATATAGAACTGGACTCCCTGACGCCACTACCTGGGAGTAGCTACGGCGATCGTAAACGAAAACATGTATAAATTACCAAAAGAAAAATTCATATGGACTTGAATCTTGAAACTCGAACAAAGTTCTATCAAAGAAAGATATATACTAAGTGACATATAAATCCGAACACCCAGTTTAAATGGTTTTATTTTAATAAAATTTTGTACAGGTACTTAATGAAGCATAATAAGTAAATGATAAAAATTTCAAAATGATTGCACTGCTTTAAAGCCCCTTGACCTTTAATAATGTGTGGATGCACCCTGATGTGCTACGCATTCTCCAACGCGCCTAGGCATGCTTCTGATCAGGTGGTCAATGTCCTCCTGTGGTATCTCATTCCAGGCAACCACCAACTCAAATTCAAAAATAACTGTAATATTTATCTTCGGAATACAAGATATAAAAATGATCTGCATATATCTCTAGCAAGGCTAAATGTAAGCTATAAAACTACATGGAAGTAAGGGTTTATAATCACCTAACAAGTTCAGTTAGAGATAGTATGACTATACAACTTTTCGGAAGGCGTCTTAATGATTTCTGGCTTTCCCACCCGTATTGTACCCTTGAAAATTTTTTTCAGGCTGAATTACAAACATAACTATCGGCTCGCTTCACTATAACTGTGACTTTTGTTGTGTGACAATTTACCCTGTTGTACAGCCAAATGAAAAACAAAGTTAAATCTGAATATGGATTAAAGCACCACATAGCGCTATTTGCGACAAACTACATAGCTACATATCGTCGTCGTGTTTCCAAGTCTACTGTACTGTGTAACAGTAGAAAGCATTTAAGTATGGGGACCCATATCCGGAAAAGTGGATTTAATGCATTTAAGTTTTGCCTTTTGTACATGATATCATCACCACAATTTCAAAATGTCTTCCTCCAACGTCAGTACATCGATTTAAACGTCGCACATGATTTCGGCGGACTTGATTAAGAATTTGATACTCATTTTGAATGATTTCAAATGCTGCTGTCATTCGTACAATTAAGTCTTGCTCTGTTTCTACTGGAGTTTCGTAAACCAAAGACTTTACATGTCCCCACAGGAACGGTGTATTCAGGTTGGAGGAAGACATTTTGAACAATTGTTGTGATGATATCATGTACAAAAGGCAAAAATTAAATGCAATAAATCCTATTTAGGCAAGTCATCGTCTTTCTGAATTTTAACGCGTCTTAGGGCCGTAGCGCCATAGTGACACTTTTCCGTATATGGTTCCCTATACTAAAATGTTTTCTATTGTTAAACTGAACAACCCCTACAAGTTTGATCCCATAGTTCTGAAACACCCTGTATGTGGCCAAAATGCTGAATGTGACAATCGATCAGCAACCCGTAATTACGTTATGTGACATTTTAATTTGGTAAATTGTGCAGTATTGGTCATTACAATCCAGCTAAGGGGGTACATTATACACATACAATCAAATAGAACCATACTTACTTACAAATAGCAATACAACCCTGAGGGTATTTTGGCTGACTCCACAGTTTGCCTCTATCTGGTCCGGTCTTTCGTCAGTGCTGCTTTAGAGATCAACTTTATTTTTGCAAGGTCTGACTTGATGTTATCCCTTCATCTCATATGAGGCAACCTAAATGTCTTTTACCAGCTGGTGTTTCTTCCCAGATCAACTCTACTAAATGGAACGTGTCCAGCCCATATCAGTCGCTGTGCTTTGATTTCTTGGCCAATGTCACTATCCGCAAACAACTTCCTGATATTTGGGTCGCAGAAATGAACAAAAATCTTACATAATACCCTGTGTTCGAAACGTCTAGACTGTTCTTCATTAGCTCTCGTCATCGACCACGTTTCACAGCCATACATCGCTATTGGCCTTATGATGGTCTTATAGATCCTGATCTTAGATGACCGTGTGAGACTTCTCGATTTAACAAAATTATTTAAAGAGAACATGCACCGATTCGCAAATTGGATTCTGCCTTTGATCTCAGTGATGTCACTGTCGGCAGTGATCGTTGCTCAAGATACTTGAAACTATCAACTCTCCCAAGGTTATAGGTGTCTAATGTTACATTTCCCCTATTGTGTCCCTTCTTCCTTGGATGATATGGAAGTATGCCAGTACATAATGATTCAAAACTGTTGTGGAATCGAAAGATCGGCGACAACTTCATTGTCCTATAAAATTATACAGTCAGCACATAGCGGAATATGGAAGCACAACGATGACATGTTTCCGATGTAAATGTTTAGCTCATATACTGAAGGAGTGGTCGCAAAAACAGGTCTTGTTTGACACGTCTGCACGAGCGTATTAAGCTTCAAATGTATTCCCAATGAAAATGTATAATCAATGTGGCATTGATTTGGATTTTAGAATTAATTGAACATAAGTGATTTTATAATTCTTTTATCTTTATTCTTTTTTAAACGGCTCAAGTCAGCGAGCTGGACTTGTGGTGATTGAGCTGATTCATGAATACTGTATTTTTAACGTAAGAACAATATTAAAAAACTAAAAATTGCGGCTGTGCGCCATATACGAACATTTTTTTAAGAATGGGTGTATGCAATACCTAACCTTGAAGCTTTAAACCTGAACTATAACTCTATTATCTGTCAAAATGACGTACTCAGTGAAAATTGAGTGTTTTTGTTCGTTGAACCATCTGTAACTCAACAACCATACATCAAAAGGTTATTATCAAATTCCTTTTTTTGGAAAGGTTTTTTTTAATGTGCTCTAAGATACGCGACACTCGATTGAAAAAACATCAGATACCTCCAAGAAAATAATGTTGATTGGTATCACGTACATTCTATAGCGTTTTGATGATTACTTCTTGAGTTATAAGAGATTCAATACACAGAAACGCTCAATTTTGACAGTGATTTTGTATTCTAGCGTTATAGAGTGCTCTTCAAACTGAGGTCACGCATGGCCTCCCATTTCATTAAAAGAACTCTCACTTTTACGCTGAAATATAGCATATATGCATCAGTCTTATTCTTTGAATTTCAGCATGCTAGCTTGACATGTTCAACAAATAAGTACAGGGGACCTTAATGAAAAACACTGCATGTGAATTTTGCTAGTCCTACTTCTGGTATATATCGATGGTTCGCTGGACGGTGCAACATAGTCCATTCGAACTAATACGAGTACAAACATTTGAACTTCAGGTCGCTCACAGCACAAAGACGAGATGCAAACTCGACATGAACATTAATATGTCAGAAAAACTGTAAAGAAATGTGTCGATCTTCCAAACGGTGCCTAAATTGTGGTTTATTCAGATTACGCGGTTAAAAAGGCTACAGCCGACCAATAGTGACATACTTCAATTTCAAAATGTTTACCTACATAGTATTTTTTTCACTTATGAATCTACTAAAAAACAATTTTTTCATTTCAGATTGCACTGGATGTGAAGGTAATAATGAAACTCCGAAGATGACGATGGTATATCTCAAGAGAATGCCAATGATTTGGCTTACGTAAAATGGAACGAAGACGATATGGCAGTCGAAGACAGAGAAAAAAACAACGAACATGGTTAAAGAAATGTAAAGAATACATTAGACAGCTGGTAGCATTCTTATTCAGTAACGTTGGAATCATTGGATTAGTGGTTAGTACATTTCCAATACTCACTAGTTTTTGGTTTCTCCAGTAGTCAGTTAAGTAACGTACTTATAAATAAGAGAAGTCTACAACCTTTGTAGATTCTTAAAATAATTAAATCAGTCACAGAGTTACAGAACCTGAAACACTGATCTCCTTACAGTACATACTCCTTATACTCCGTTTCGTAGAAAATGCCTGCGTGCTTTGGAAACCTACAAAATGTTCAAAAGAAGAGTAAAGCCATTGCTGGCTGTTTTTTATGTTATTCGGGAATATTTTAATGCGACTTGGTAGATTTGATACCCTTATGGTATGCGTATGCAGTTTATATTTTCATTTATATTGTGTAGTTTGTTCATTTCCATTTTACGTTTTATTGATGTGCCACAAGCACTGTTTGTGTATTTTAGTACGAACAAAAAAAATGAAAATATATATTTTTAGGAATATGATCAATAATATCTATTATCTTTCAGGTAGGATATACAATAGCAGGATCGTTCATATTTATGACTATAGAAGGAAGACATGTGCAGAAGATGAAGCTTGAAGTACTAGGAAACAGATCACTGTATGCGCAGAAGTTGTGGAATATAACCATGCAACTTAATGCCAAAGCAAGTACCAATGTACTTCATAGTGGAACTCCTAAATTAGGCATTTGTTAAAGCAAATTGTATATTTATAGCGATTCTCAAATTTTATGAATAATTTAATACTGTACGTCTGCGAACATAGTCGCTATGAGCTGCGCGGATTTAAATTCCGTCCTAAAAGAGTTTTGGGGTGGGGCCAGGATGTGTGCATGTCACGTGTTCCCCCGTCGGAGTCCATGTGCAATATTTACCCTGTATCTTCTTATAGTACCACGTACTAACAAGTACATCGACCTTAACCCTCCGGCGGGCGCGCTATCAGCACTTCATGCCGGCTTTCCACTATATTTCCACTAAGTTTTTGAAAATAATCATTGGCTAAGTCTCCTCAGCCGTCCACCATGCTCAAATTACTATACTAGTTATCCGTTCGCCGAATATCTCCTTCAGAATGGCCTGACGTTAATTGGTACCATGAAAAAAAAAAAAAACAAAAAAGAAATTCCACCCGATTTTCTACCAAATAACTTCACGTCAAGTAGGAACCATTCTATTCGGGTTTCAAGATAATATGACTCTAACCTCTTATGCAAGCAAAAAGAATAAGGCGGTAATCTTATTGTCAACAATGCAAGATGCAGGTGAAATTGATGAGACCACTAAAAAGCCTCAGATCATTTTGGACTACAATAGAACAAAATGTGGCGTTGATACCGTAGACCAGAAATGTGCATCTTACACAACACAAATAATTACTAGAAGATATGGCCCATTACATTTTTTTTTCGAATTCTTTACATTGCTGGAATAAATTCTGAAATTATCTATAGTACTCGTAATACTAAGCCTTTAGCTGATCCTCCTAGAAAACGTACTTTTCTAACCGAATTAGCTCTTAAGCTGCTTGCGAATCATCTAAAAGATCGAGCTAAAAATTCAGCGCTTCCCAAGGATATAACAGCATTTCTTTCAAAATATCGTACAGTGCCTGAGACTGAGGTAGCAGTTACCAGAAATTCCAATGGAGAGTGCCATATTTGCATCTCAAAAAAGAACAACAGAACCACAGTTACCTGTAATTTAGGTCAACATTTTGTATGCAAAGGACACAGCACTAAGACCTGTCAAAATTATATGCTTGCTGAAGTAGAAAATATATAAGATTAGGAAGATAATATATACAGGGTGTCCCGAAAAAAGTGTGCAATATTCTACCAACGGTTTCTAGAGCTTAAAATAGGAAGAAAAGTTTATATAAACATAGGTCTTTTAAAGGGGCTCCCCTTTTTCCGAAACGTGTTGAGATAAAGACATAAAATTTGGTATCCTAGCCTAGCTTTTTATGCTGGATTTAAAAATATTAACAATTTTAGACAGTTTTGTTTGGAAGCATATGTAACAGGGACGGACTCAGGTTATTTTAGCCCCAAAATTTTTGTGTGATTCGTTTTTTGAAATTCAATTTTATAATTTGAAAATTTAGAGTTTTATACATAAAAAGGTACTCTTATTGAATATCGATAAATTGTGCCATTTTTGAATAAAATCATACTAAAAAATTTGTCACATGATAGGAAATGTACTGCGAATTTAAATGAAACCTAGTTTGAGCTCTAGAAACCGCTGGTAGAATATTGCACACTTTTTTCGGGACACCCTGTATAATAATAGATTTTTTGGATTTTGTTAGAAATAATGTTTGTTTTATTTAACTTTTATTTTCGTAATGTTTTAGAATAAAGGATTTCATATAATTTGAAGTTGAGTCATTAATTTTCAGATAATGATTGTAGAAGGAAGATAAACCAAAATATGTGTGTAAAAATAAAAAAAAATTAAAAAAAAATGTTTACCTTGTTTTATAAAGTATCCTCCCGACAAGTATTTCAGTGCGGACCTGTATTTGATCGTGAGGTCCCCTGTGAGGTCTTAAGTCACCTGATTCACGAGCCCGTTGTACTACATTAACAAAGGCACGAGGGGTTGGTTGCACTCGATTGGGAAACCGATCCGCATAAACATGTGCCATTTTTTATTTCGTTTGAGTCACGCAACAGACACTATTCACACGCGTTACCAACTGACACTGACTGTATGTATAACTGAACTGAATAAAATAATTGTAAAAACATCGTTCTAAATTCTTTCGCTTTTTTGTTTCCGATGCGATGAACCGATAAGGCGGATTATATCCGTTGTTGCCAAACACGAGCACATGATATTATTATTGAGACAGGGCGGTACTCAAACTTCCAAAGGGCTATAACTTTGTTACTTTAATTTTACCAGAAAAATGGTAAAGGAAAAAAACATTTCTTTTGATCAGATCTACTCACTGTTAAAATAAATGACTCAACTTCGATTTTTTAAGACTGTATTATCAAATAAATTTGAATGTTTTGATATTTTTTTGGCATATAGTGACGCAGCACGCACGCTCTTGTGATTTTGAAAAGCGCGCATGCCGGAGGGTTAAGACTGTGAGGTTTAAGTATGTATATATAAAAAAGAAGCTTTTTGGTTCTAAGATTTACTAAGTTTTTTGAATACGATAGGATAATAGCTAAAGTGCTATACTAAGAAATTCCTGATCTTTTTATCTTTATTATTTAGAATTATTTCTTCAATAAATCCTTGTCTGCGGGAAGAATATTGTCAATCACGAATTCGATGAAGACCACTATTTCATCTATTTAATTCTCGTTACAGGTGATGACTAAGGAAGAGTTTCATAGAAGGATAACAGAGGAGTTGTTTCAATACCAGAGGATAGTAGTGAATTTCACACGAAGAGGTTACGACGGGACTGACGAACTTAATTGCACTGCTCAATGGAGCTTTGCAGGAGCATTCCTTTATTCTCTCACTGTTATAACCACTATTGGTGAGTTACCTACCTATCTGAAAAATCACAAAACTCTCAATTGTAGCTGCTTATATAGCAAAACGTCTGCCAGGATAAGGCAAACACGCCGGGCAAAGCAAACATTTTCTGTTATATCTTTCTTCAATAATCTTCAATCAGCTCTAGGAGAAACTTTCTGTTTATTTGGCTTACAGTCAATAAATTGTGAGAACCGACAACTGGTATATGGCAATGACGTGATAACAAATTATTGTTTTCTACGTCTATCGTCTTTCTCAGGCAAACGGAAGAACTTTCTATCAACATAATCCTGGCCACTTGTATTAGTATAAAAAGCATTCCTATAATTTGCTGCAGGCAGCGGCAATCTAGTTTACATTTACACACAACCCTTACCTCTAATGTAACATACGGTTTTAATGATACCTCTGTAGCACTGTTTTTGCTTAGGAGCAGTCGCACAAAGTTTGTTAATATCAGCTTTACAGCGAACAATGTCCTCAGGTTGTTCACACCAACAGATAAGCCAAGAAAGACGACGTGGGGTATATAGTTCCAAATCATTCGAACATCTGGAGAGATTGCATCCGGGACTACGAGAATTTCAGGAACAAAAAGAAACCAAATATTAGTTAGATTATACTTGTTTGTAACTCTAGTGACAAATGCAGCAAGATAAAGTAGGTCTTTGTTAAGCATCATGATAGTCCGCAATATAGCACTATGCAGTTCAGGGGCCTGGATTGAGATGTTAAACGTAGATGGAAAAAAGACAGATTTTATAGAAATGTAATGGAAAAACTACAGATTTGGTAGACATGTGGTGGGAAAAAGGCACTAGATAGAAAAGTAACCTATTTTTCATGTTTTAACTGTTCACTCTTTTCATCAAAGATTTACATAATTCTTTGGTATGTCCTAAGTTGATCTTTGCCGACGATTTAAAAATTTTCTCTACTATTTCCTTGATAGAGAATTATGTTGTGCTACAAGATCAAGTAAATATTGTAACAAGATGGTGTGAAAATAAAAATATTTTCCTAAATATTTCCAAATGTAAGGTACTCACTTTTTCTGGATAGCCTAAATCTGTATGGTACAACTACACTATGGTGTCTACTTTAATCCGCAACTCACCTTAAATGATCATATTAAGCAAATCATCTCTAGTGCATTTAAAACGTATGCCTTTATAATAAGAAGCTGTAGGAACTTTGACAATATCTGTGCATTGAGATCTTCATTTTTCAGCCTGATAAGGTCAAAACTTGAATATGAGTCTCTTATCTCGAACACTATTTATGAACAATATATTGATCCTATCGATAAAGTTCAGAAGAACTTTTCAGAGTTTCCCAGTTTCAAAACTGGTGGAGTTTACCCTGCAAGAGATTATACTTTCCACAAAACTTTGATTTTCAATCTTTAGAGCAGCAACGGAATCAATTTTCGTTACTCATCTTATCCAAATTATTACATCGACAAATAGGCCGTCCCCAAATTCTTTCACAGTTACAATTTCTGGTGCCACGATTAGCTTCACGAGCTAGAGTTTTTTTATACCTTTATAACTTATTATTCAAAGCACCAGTTAATAGGTTGTGTTACAATGCCAATAAAATTGCTAACGACTGTGATATTTATGGTTGTAGTTTTAAGGAGACAAAGAATGAATCGTATTTTACAAGTTAAATTTACCATTTTGTGCATACGTATATATACAGTGCTTTTCTTTAATGTTCCGCTCCCCTTCGACAGATGAAAATGTCAAGATCGCCGCTGGGCGTCATCTTGGAAAAAAATTATATGAAATCGCGGGTCTTGTGGCACATCATTTTGAAGCTCCTGACGAGTACTTGTTAACCCTAGAATATAAAGTCAATACCTTTACCTATTACAAAATGGTGGTACATTTAATAATTACTTGAATACATTGACATTAAACTTGATAATTCGAATAAATACGTTGAGTTCAGTTTAGAAGATGCTGGAAATGGTTGCCTTGAACTTCTTGACACAATAACAGCCGGTCCGTAATTTCGCGTCGAACATTTTTAAACATAGTAACATCGATATTTCTACAAATATTTGTTATTCTCAGCCGTATATCCAATATTGAAGCAGGTTCAGTTTCGTACACCTTTTGCTTTAGATAGCCCCATAAAAAAGTCTAAAGGTGACAAATCTGGCGAGCGAGTTGGCCATTCCACAGGATCTCGACGACCAGTCCAACGACCGGGGAAATTGTTATCTAAATAATTCCTAACGTATCTGTAGTAGTGTGGTGGAGCACCATCTTGCTGGAATACAATATCAGTATCGAATTCATCAGGATTCGCTTTGACGATTTCGGTGATTAGAGGGGCAATACTATCTTTCCAGCATATCCAAATACAGTTCTCCGGTTAAGGTTTGTTCGATCAATAGAGGCTCCACAAGATGGTTTCACAATATCCCAGCCCAAAAGTTAATTTTTTGTGGATATTGAGTTTCCCGGAAGATGTGACGATTGGTGTCACTCCAATAACGACAATTTTTTCTATGCACATTACCGTTGAAAAAAAATGAACATTCATCACGAAAACAAATATTTTGGATATAGGTAGGATACCGTGCAATGGTTTCCGTCACAGTCTCGCAGAATTCTGTTCTTCGATCAGGGACATCTTCAGTTAGCTGATGTATCATTTGAATTTTGTACGGGTGATACTTATTCTTTTTCAAAAGTCTCCATACTAGAAGGTCAAACCTCACATACATTCGCAATGGAGGAAGTAGACTGTTGGGGATTTACCATGATCTCACCAATTTTATATGAACTTGCTTTTCTTCCGGGATGGTCAGATGACCTGGGGGCTTCTTGTTGTTTACACTACCAGTAGCTGTAAATTAAGATACAAGTTCTCTTAAATATTTTCTACAGATAGGACGATTTGGGAAACGATCATTAAAAATCATTTCTGTCTCGTGAAAGTTACGCGTCGCACCATAAATAAAAATCGCTTCGATTTTTTCTTCCAATGGACGAGAATTGACCATTTTAAAAATAGTTCAAACAGTATCTAGCACTGAATCCGAAAACTAAATAAGAATATTTTGACAGTTTGTTTTCATACTGATATTCTTGTCTCTGTCAGCAAAAAATAACAAAACAAGTTTTTATCGCTGTTGCTGTGGATACGGCAGGGAATTACAATTATTTGTAGAGGTATGCATATTAGTGGGTTTGTGTTTAAGTAATTATTAAATGTATCACCATTTTGTAGTAGGTAAAGGTATTGACTTTATATTCTAGGGTTATAAGGTACTCGCCAGGAGCATCAAAATGATGTGCCACAAGACCCCCGTTTTCATATAATTTTTTTTCCAAACTTCTAAAGGGCTATAACTTTGTTACTTTAATTTTACCAGAAAAATGTTAAAGGAAAAAACCTTTCTTTTGATCAGATCTACTCACTGTTAAAATAAATGACTCAACTTCGAAGTCACCCTGTATAATTTATAAAATGTTTAATAAATCCCCATGTAAAAAACATATTTTCAATGTCAGAATCATATTTTCGGCTGATTTACGTTACTCAGATAACATATATTATAAAGGGGTTATGTACCGATTACGTGCTAAAAACACATGGCCACCTGGTTAATTTTCGATTTCGTTGCATAAGATTGGTTAGATTTAACGTATTTTTTAATGAAAATGCATCAACTATAACAAACTTCAATCACGGAATAATTGCTGATTCCGTTTATCTGGATATCTGATTAAAAAAAAGATTAACTCAAAAACCAGTCGTACAAGCCCCCATAAGCCTTATACAGGATGTACTGGCTTCGTTTGTAAACCTTTACACGTTCTAAAAAATGGCACCCTTACAACAATATCGGAGTTGCACATATTATTTTGATTTACGGTGAGGATCTTCGAGATGCTACCTGTATATATGTATATATATATATGTTTTGTTCGTATGGAAATACTAGGCTAACTTTTTTTTATAAATTGCTGTTATTGGCGTGATTGGGCAATAAGGGATTATTATTATTAAACGGCTGATCAGCGACTGGCATGTTTGTTGGGTGATGAACTGCTTGCCAGGTTATAGTACTTTACATGCGTCTTTCATGAATGCTAGGCAGATCCCTGAAGGCGGATTGGAATGAACCTTGAAGTTATTACTGGCCGAGGACGCATGTTCATTATTATTGTTTAATACCATCTAAATGAAAGTATGCACGTTGAGGGATCCAGTAGCGGGAGGCATGCGGTCCCCATGGCAACTCCTAGCCTACAACATCTTCGGGTTGACATTCCATGATACTTTCGTGAACTGGCAGGATGCCACAGGTCTCTCTCTTTGTGTCCGTGCCAGGAGAGAAATCATTTTCGGCGCTCCCACTCTCCCGTCCCCCAGTATGCGCTAACTTTGAGAGTGTGAAGTTTAGATAACTTTGATTGCAAAGTTCAGTTACTCCCTGCATTGAGTAGCAATTACCAGGATTATCCGCGCTCTGGGCATAACTTCATGGCAGTATACTCGTATGTATTAGTTGTGTATCTCACAATTCTTATTTGCCTAGCACCCGGTAAACGGAATGCGGATAAACTCTGTCCTACACTGAAATTTTAATAACAAATTATCGAAGTTGAACAAGCGCCTCCTCACTTCCCAGCCTGCACTTAAACTTCCCGAAAGATATTAAAACAGGGTTAGACTCTCCCCTCATCACATAACCCACTTATCAGCCTCCCTCGACTCTCTCAACACTGCACCGCCGTAATTCGTGCACAGGTTAAAATTCAATATCTCAGCACCAAAACATTTTAATATTTTAATCACAAATCCATCCTGGGATAACCGTACATTACGAAGGCGAAACCTCTCAAGATGCAGGTTTTCATCCCATCCAGATACTTTACTCATGATAAATTGACTGAAATTGTAAAGTAGGGTAGAAGGATTTGTCTATGATGCGGTCAACGTTGCATATCTTTAGCACAAGCAGACAAAAGCTACCTGCTGGTTGTTAAGGGCAACATGATATTCCTTTCAATATTTTTTTGTGGCCCCAAAGCTCTGAAAAAAAACTCGTGAATGTGAAACAAAAATGTTTTGTCCATCACTCAAAACGTTGTTGAATTGACAATTGACGGTTTGAATATGTTTACGTTATTTATGATTTCGAAGACATTACAATTATGAATGTCGGATATTATACCACGCCATGAGACGATTTTATTTGTATATTCTCCCCCCCCCCCGTCCTAGAGGTTAGGGATTCACTTCTTGTCTTTATTTTCCCGATACTTGACTTAACCTAAAATCTAGTGAAGGTCAAGTCAAGTACAGGTATTAGATATTAGCAATGTGAATCAAGTCCAGTAGTTTTCACGTCAAGTACTTGAAGTTTCAAGTAGTCTTGATATTCCTTGATAATTTTTGTAATAAACATACACAACGGAAATACTTTGTGACAACTAAAATAGAAAGAGAAGCATTTCTTCATAAGCTGATTGCCTCTCCCTTTAAATGGACGCTGATGCTGCAGGTGAAAATAAAAAA